GCCAGAGTATATAAATGCTACATAAAATGCTGATAGCTCTACATAATATACGCATTACAATCGTGTGCGAACAAGAATTTTGAAATATATTTAAGAAAAATCAACTAACATTTTGGAAAATAGTATACATAGTTCATTTTGGCAGTTTTCGTTTTAAGGCCTATATCTATTAAGAAGGTAATGTGCATTAAGACTCCTTTTTGGAATTTGAACAACTACAGGACTACCTACTATAGGAATAGTACCACTCTTTGGATTTGATATGAATCATAATTAGTATTTACTTCATGGCTAACAGAACAAATATACACAAATATTGGATTGAAACATTAACTCAACTAAAACCACGACAAAACAGATTCAGTCAATAATAATAATTACAAATAATCGAATTGTCAAAACAATAACATTGCACTACAGTTCTAATTCTTCTAAGACAATTTTACTAAGTTCTACACGGACTTTTACGACAAAAAGACTCTAGAACACATAGTACTTATAAGTTAAATAAATAAAAAATTACAACAATTTTGTTATTATTGCGTTATCTACTGTCAATGTTACCATTGACAACTTCATTCGCCTCATTAGTTACACAATTAACCATTTACTTGATAATCTTTTTAAAATAAATGGTTAGTTCAGAAAAACATCATCATTTAGTATTTATAAGTTAGATCGTGTATTAAGAACCATATTGCATAGGCAGTAAGGTTTCAAATTCATTGCACTCTGCCATAAAAGTCCGCGTAATTAACTAACACGACAATATAACGAACAAATTTTACATTTCTTTAAGTTTTATCACATTTCAATCAATTGGAATTGGCCACGCCCTCTGTTTCTGCGATACCATTACAGCAAATAATTGCCTATGCATAGTATATGTTTATCTTATTAGTACTAACTTACTTTATTGCGACATTTAGAATTTCATTTTTATTTCCGTATTTCTTTAATTAAATTAGTTACATGCATTCAAAATTAATAAACCGAGAGACGTAAACAAGAAGATAAGTAACAATAATCTTACATGGAAAATTACAATGGATATTTTCGATTTCTTTACAGGATAACATAACATCACGCCTTTTAACCCCAAAGGGGTAGGCAGACGTGTACATTGCGGCACTTAATGTCACTGTACAATGTAACACCCATTTTTCACTATTTATGTTATGATTCCATGTAATAGGGGGTGAGCCTTTTGCCATACTGGACACAAATCCAGACTCCGTGCTCCTACTGAGATTTAAAAAAAAACAGTAATACTTTGCCCGGCCCGGGAATCGAACCCGAGACCATTTACAGGATCTGTATTCTAAATAGTAAACTAGTGGGAGTTATAAACTAAATAATATGATTGTCTAAGGTAAACGGCTTTAGTCTAGCTGATAACGATCACAAAACAATTAAACCAATTGTTTTTTTAAAACATAATATACAAACAAGAAACAGAAGGCGTACTGATGACATTCTATAACCCCACTTCAGTGAAATTCAGTAATTTGATGGTATTCAGTACCCCGCTAATAAAATATTAATATACCAAAAGTAACTACTTTTGGTCAGCGCATCATGTACATTCTTGCTATTAGGGGGTGTAAATGGAACGCTTCCGAAATAGGCCGACAAGTGACAGGTGAGCTCAAAAATAAGGTTTATTTTCATAAAAGTAAGGTATTAAATGTTTCTTTCATGTAATAATAATAGGGTAGATGCCTAATTTTTATTTTAATGTCCGTCTGGTAGATTATTTTAAATCATTACACACGTATTTTTTATTTTCTTACAGAAACGAATACTTTTGACGATATATTGATTTGAAATGTCGCGTGACGTCACTTCTACGTACATTTTATACGTAGAAATGACGTTTTAGTCCCCACTTCTAAACATTGATTCGTTTTATCTAAGTATTTTTTTATTATACGACAAAATACAAAAATACGTGTCTAATATTTTTTCATTACCTAACTTACGGACTAATTATATTTTAAATTTTCATACCCTGTCATCAACCCAATTGTAATCGACCGCTAAAACTATTTTTGTCAGCGGTATCGGAGGCGTTTCATTTACACCCTGTATTTATCGTATAACCCAATCCCTAATCTTTGGTTCTTCTCTTTCTAACTACGAGATAATGATAGTCAAATTACTAAACATTAACTGAAATCGAATTCAAACAGTGGAATTTAGTACAATGTAATATCTACAGCACTCTACATGGATCGTAATGATGAATTAGTCTTTTCCAATATTTGAATCAGTCTGTAAATGATACATACATAGACGTACTATACGTATGTGTGCAACTCAGCCTTTACCGCCGATGTAAAGTAACCTATAAGTAAATTAAAAGAAAGGATAAAGATGTCACTTACGCAATAATCTAAAAAAAAATTAACTAGATAATAATTGCGAGATAAAATATATTTTTATTTTGTTATAAAAAATATTTAATATGGATATGGGGGCAGATGGAATAACCAATTAGCTGGTAGATTTGGCCAATAGACGGGGAGACAAAGTCAAAGCGAAATGTCGGAATAAATCGGCGATAAAAGCTTGCAATACGCATACAAGGGATTTGTAACAGAAAGATATTTATCTAAATTATCTATAGGTTGTAAAACTTACTATTACATATTCAGCTCTATATTAGTACTATTATTTAAAGAATATTTTGTGACAAAAGCATATGTAATTGATACAAGGAGCTGTGGGAAATAACTCCGCCTTTTTTCAATAATGTATTGGATACATGTATATTTAGCTATTGAAAATATATATAAGTATTCATTTTATATGCTATTGGTGTTCCAAAAGGCAACGGTAACTAGTAATCCTTATATAAAAATTAAAAAAAAAACATTGCACAGCTTAAAATATATAGAATACGATACTTACAAGGAAAAATATATTTATATACGAAATATAAGGTTATAGAGTAAAAATTAAGTATTATTAGACTACAGTAAATAAAAAAAGATTTAAAATATTGTGCGCGAAATTATTTTGCGTTAGTAATACGGATAAGTATGATATGGCTAACGAGTTCTATATAATTTTAAACAATAGTATAGCCACTTAGGCCCACCCTCATAACAATAAAAGATTTGGTTTTTGTTAAAAAACATATCTACAATATATTTTTTTAAACGTTGCCCCACACTAGGGTTTTCTCCTGTGTCGTGAGTGCGTTTACATACAAACATGTGTGTGAACATGTTTGTCTTATGTTGATAAGTTGACAACAGTTGTGTTGTCAATTTGAACCCATATTTAATTTCAGACCTGCATACCAAATTCTGTTGCTATCTCTACTTCCTTTCATGTTTAGATGGGATTATTCTAGTGTTAATAGGAGACAATTTTATTAAAACTTACGAGGCTACGACCAACGTCTGTGGTATTACTGTGCAAAATTGCAGTTACTTATCCATATCACACACGTTTAAAAACAAATGCATCATTGAAATTGAACACTTTCGAACAAAAAGAAAAATTGATGACAATTTGTAACTAAAATGATTTTGAAATACTTTGTATTTTGAATGGCGTATCATTTCAATACTGATCACATAATAAACTACCAGAAACCCTGATATTTATAGTACATATTATTATAATTACCAACTACCAAATTAATTTAGCCCTTATAAACTTTAGCTCCCAATAAATAAAGCATATAATGGTTTGGTAATAAAATGTTAATGTTGGTACAAATGTTGGTGGAATATTTATGTTAGATAAAATGTTGGCGTTGAATATTGGGGCATTTGTTACAATATTTGTAGTTGACTACGTTTCATAGGAATTGTTGACAAGAGTGTCGAAATGTTTCGAGTTTCAATCGTAATTGACTGTTATTATGCGATAGCTGCTGGCAGAATAGGATGTTATAGCATTATCAATAAGGTTGAAAATTGAAGTACACAACTGCATTGTGCCACGCAAATTATTCTGCGCAATTTCAAGAATTGGAGTTAGTAAATACTGCACACAATGATTTTCTTCTTAGAATTCGAATTGACTTTATGATCGTTAACATTCGAAACGTAACTCTGTGCCACTAAGAATTAATACGAAAATTGTCTAACAATGGAAGTTGGAACCTTGGAATCCTAATTATGAAGAAACTCGAAGCATTTCCACATCCCAGCGTCTGTCGAGATGTAGTGATACATCGACATGTCATACAAATATACTTAGTCTATATGCTTTGTAAAGCGTCAGCCTTATAATAAACAATAATGGACCTTAACTACATCGTACTTATACATATGGATATTGGAGAAATTCATATTACTTAGCCGCTTACAACACATGAGATACTTTTTGACTGTCCAGTGCAGATATTGGTTTAATTTAAAATATACAATAAGTTCTATAAATGGAGCTTTTAAAAAGTTGATAATGTAGTTTAAAGTAATTCATTATTAAGTTCTTTTTTATTTTAAGAGTAAGCAAATCAGCTTGGCTTGTTTTTTCAGTAATAAGGAAATCAATTTTAGCTTTAGACAAAACTGCAGGACATTTCACTTAAATCGTCATCTCTTTGTAAGCTACGAAGTGGCCGACGACGATCATTTTAAAATACACAGTAATATAAACCGTATCTCACATGCAATAGGAGCTAGAATCGAATACACGTCTACAACACAAGTGTGTGAGGTACCGGGACGTTACATACCTTGAACAATCAGATGACGTCAATGACTTTGTTACCAAAGTACTCAATAAAACACCTTTGAAACAGATTAGTAGAAGCTCACATCGAGATTTCGCTGGTAAAAAGACAAAGGAATTTACTTCATAAGTAAGGTCAATTTTAAGTTCATATTTGGAAAACTTTTAAGAACGCGATATACGCGCATTCAAGCGACACATTAGTTGTTGTTGTGCTTTGAATTCTCACTCTGCATACTTTGTAGAGGAGATTATGGTCGAGAGTACAGTGGTCACAAAGTCACATACCGTCGAACTGACTACTACTATCGGCTCAGGGTGTCTTCAGAACTGCCAGACATCCGCCGTCCATTAGTCTCGTCCACCTCCTGATGTCCATTGCATCCATTCACAATCTTCGGCGGTGAAGCCCTCTTCTTATACATGATATCCCATATATGATGCACGATAAGGTCAATAGCCACTGCAACAATGCAAAACGGACTTTAAATCCTTGAAAACACGCTTCTTTTTGCAGCTACATAAGAGCATAGCCGCTGCAAACATTTTTGCATTTTTTTTTAAAGTTCGAATACAGAATGTTGCAGTATACGACCTCGTTGCAGTGGCTATGACCTTGTGTCACTTACCTTCGTAATGAAATGTCACTTAGGTATAATAGAAAAATAGTTACCGATTGTAAAAAACACGTAAACGCGACACGAAACGATAATATTAGGTGGTATCGAATTTGCAATGTTAATTTGTTACTTTCTCTTTAAATATTCAAACCGAAATAGATGCTTAAATTTTTACTTAGTACTATTTTTGTTGATAAATATACATTTAAGTAATGATTGTGTGTGATTTAACTTACCTAGGTTGTCGGCTCCTCTCGGAATGATGACGTCAGCAAACTTTTTGGTCTGCAAGCAATTATTTAGAAATGAGGCTATTGCGTTTCATCTACTAATTGCGAGGTATTGTTGGAACAATGCATACTTAGTATGTTATTTATCAAGATTGCTGACCAGCCGATATCATTCAAAGAGCTCACATTTCAACGATGGTATCGATTAACCGTTAACTGCATGTGTCAACAAATATAATAGTGATAATATAATGTGAATATTTCAGTGTTTGGTTACCTACAGTCTGCAGATAAGAGCACCTGAAAACTAGCTAAATAATGTGGAGCGATATAAAATGGTGTTCAACAATATGGTTGAAAATCATTTGTACAGTTTCTTTATAGGCCTCCAGCTTCTGCCAGCGCCTGCGACTGACCTCCCAGAATAACAAGTTATGTGTTAATGCAAACTATAATCCATTTCTGTGCACAAAATTAATTCAGATTCATTCAGTACTTTTGCATGAAAGTACATTTATAATATTAGAATAAAATTCATTGGCATACCTACAACAATAAGTATCAACTCACCGGTAAGCAGAACTCCTCAAAGGCTGGCTTGACAAAGTTCATGTACTGGTTCAGTACTTGCTCCAGGTCACGGCCGCGCTCCATTATGTCGCGAGGCACTGCAATTTAACACTCTCTAAGTATATCAGGTCAAGCTTGAGCTGGAATAACTGATTAATATGGGGTTCCCCAGGGAAGAATACTGGGACCAACACTTTCAACTTTAACACAAACTTTTTTGGGTTTTGGGTCTAGCAATGTTTTATTTAATAAGCAGATGCCTTTTTGCTAAAGGGGTATTATAAATCAGAAAATCTTATTCATTCATAACAAAATTTCAAGATTAACTTCTTTGTTGTTTTATGTTACTCATATTTGCGATAATAAAATCTTTAAATCTTTTGCCAGTAGGAAGAAAATTTATGACATGGTTCACTTTATTGGACTACTGTTACATCTTTTGGAAGTTTTTGTGTTTAATAGTTTATAAACAATTTTTATTTTTATTATTTGTTTCTTTGGCAATAGAAATTATAAATGAGACTTACCTCTCCTAGCAAGCCTGGTGTCGGAGTCAGTGTCGACAAAGAGCTTCATGTGGAACAGTTCACGCACCTCCGGGAAGTAGAACACCAGGATTCCTTCGATCAGCACCACATCAGCAGGGTAGATTGTGTGCGAGCGATGTGGGCTGTATAGGTTATTGTGTTTTGATTAAAATTAGCTCAAAGGTATTTAATGATAATATGATTTATTAAATTGTAAACTTGTGCAGAGTGGCACCAAAAACTAATTTTTGTTTTGTGTCTTAGCTCTCTCTATTAATTATGATTAAAAAATCTAGAAATAACTCACCTAATAGAGTTGGTAATGTAATCATACTCTGGGATCTCCACCTTCTTGCCAGCTAGGATATCTTTCAGGATAGCAAGAAGCTTCTTATCATCAAATGCATCAGGGTGATCAAAGTTGAACTGTCCTCGTTCAGCTCGGAGCCTCTCTGAGGGTGTGAGAGTGCGGTAGAATGAATCCTGACTGATGCAGACTACACGGCGCTCTGTCTGCTCCTTGTGCTGTTGGCCCAACTTCTCCATGATGCGTTGACATACTGTCGACTGGATGGAGAAAATAAAATAATATTGGTTTTGGCCTAGGTATTTCGGTAATACAAAATAAATACTTTTAACATTATTTCTATATTTGTGCAACTTAGTAGGTACTAACAAATATTTTGTCAATTCTTCTTATTGATTTTGAATTACAACATTAAATAATAATAAAATTGTTTTAGTTGATGTTTTCTTTCTCAAGATCTCAGTAAGTAATATCCATATTTCTTCATTGTTATAGTTAAGATAAAGGATATTGGTATTTATCAAATAAAATAAATATCTAAACTGTGGTGGCTATACCCAGTCCTGGGTCGAATCCATGTATGTTTCTTGACCAATAACTCAACTACATTATTTATTTATAAACATAGCGTTTAGTTTTATTATAGTCATACTTTTGTTATATCTACAGCACCATTCCCAGGTTCCCATACTTCAATGAGGTTTGTACATAGAGGTTATATATTTACGCCGTAATGACTTAACGGCTTTCAATTAAGTGACAACTCGTTTAGTAAGAATTTCTAATAAGAATAATGAAACTTGGCCATCCTTGATTACGTAAGTTACATTTCAAGTAAGAAAATCGATAAATTGCGAATCAAAACATTAGGTTAGACTAACCTTGCCGCTGGCCGTACCACCTGCCACACCGATCAGGAACGGAGTTTTGCTCTCAAAACCATTGGCAGTCGAATAATCCGTTGGTTTATCTGCCATTTTGTACGTATGAATAGATCTTACAGGTAATCTTATTTTTAAAACACCACAATACGCACTCACACAACACTTCTGCAGAAAAGCTGACATTGACATTTAAAACGCAGTATTGCCAAGGTCAAAAAATTAGAATACCTATCTTGCAACTCTACCTCCACACACTGTTCTAAAAAAAATAATTGATTCATTTTTTCTTGTTTGAGATAAGATAAAGTAAAGCGGCCCGTTTTTACCTCCAAGGTTTAACTTATTGTAGGTGGTCGGTCAGTGTACTCAATATTGTTGGTGGTCGGTGGAAAATAAATTATTTAATTTCTCACTAAATGAATTTGGTGTATGTGTTATAAAGTATCGATCAAACAATTTCAAGTTTAAGCTAACGCCTACTTACATGAACCTTAACAGAACGTTCTTACAGGTTTATATTACATTGGAACTTAATATTGACAAACAAAAACCTAAAAAAACCTAAAAATAAAGTTTTCCAGGCAATATGGCACCAGTATCTTGTTAGTCCAATGGTCGAAAACGTGATTCTCGGGTTTGATCCCGGTAAACTCTAAGATATTGAGATTTTTAGTAGTAAGTAGGTATCACGGGACTCGGATTATGTGGAGTATATGGCTCAGCCTCTGATCTAATAGATTGGTTTGACTTGACTTTGACTTGACTAAAACCATTATGTAACATGCGATAAATAGAAGGGTTATCAGAGCCTATGTTAACATTGTTAGGAATTACCTACAGGTCTACTGCTGAATGTTTTCCAATTCTTAAGTAAGTATAACAAATTAATTAAAACCAGGTTAAAACATTTAATGTTATATTTATTGTTAAGCATATAAGTAGTAAAATATTACGGAATGTAGCAGCATTTGCTTTCAATACATGGTATACAAGTAAGAGCAACACTGCTCAACATAGGACACTTTCCAAAATACTGCAAAAATAGTTACAAAAAATATATTCGAGTTTTACAGATAAAATGTGGTGTTTAGACTTGGTTTCTGAGTTTTTGGTCGGCTTGTCTGAGTGCGGTGGCCATGTGGAGTTGTTTCACTCTGAGACGGGCCCACACGAGGTAGTCTTGCAGGCCGATGATTTGCGCAGCCATTAGCGCAGCGCTGTCGGGGTAGATTACTGTTGCGCAACCCAAGCCAGATGGCACGGAGAGAGACGACCAGATGTCCTGGAGGAAAGAAAGTTAATACACTTATTAAGAGACCTGAAAGTCCAAAATGTTTAATAACCACTTAAGTTTTCAGAGGCTTCACTAAATAACGAACTATTGACCGAAGAGAATCATAAAATAGTTACTTATCTATGTCCTCAAATTATCACCAAAAACGAAAAATAAGATGCAAAAATCGGTCTAATAATTTACCTGGACCATTTTATCGGAGGGTGGTGGGCAGTTGATGACGGGGTAGGATGTGTTGCCAGACAGTACTGGCCCCAGTCCGTTGGAGCGGCCCGCCACTGCGATAAAGACGAGGGCTCCGTGCGTGTCCTCATATTGCTGCATGATGCGCAGGGTCTCCTCGGTCGCCTTGTGAGCTGATGTCACGCGGAGATCCACGCTAAGGCCGAGCTCACGAGCCGCTGTTGATGTGAATTAAGTTGGCACTTAAGTGGGCAAAATTACGGCCCTTAGTATCGACATTGAGAAGGACAAAATTATCTGAATCCAATTAATGGATTTTCAACCTTATCATTTTGTAATAAAAATTAAAATCATTAATGATGTGTCTAACTTAGTAATCGTAATAATTTCAGAATTTCCGTTCTGTGTTGAAAGTACGAGATAATCCAATGAGACGACCAAATTGCTATATAGTTGTTTTGAAAATAGTAAAAATTATCCCAATTTTGTTAGCAATAAAGTACAAAATACCTTTGGCGATCTTCTGGCAATGCTCCTGGTCGGCAGGGGAACCCATGAAGACAACTACTTTATGGTGCACGTTGGGTTTGAGGAAGTCCAGCTGGTCCTTCACCCAGCCGAAGTTGCGCTTCACTGTGTCCAGGTCCGCTGCTGTTACTGTGGTCAGGTTTCTGTATACCTGAGATCCGAAGAAGTTTTTAATATAGAAAGTCGGTACGTAAAACTATACCCATATTACTCTCTTTAATAGAATCGAAGAGGTTCAAAACTGGCTATTATAAAGTCTTTTTTTTAAGGGGTGAAAATCATCAAATGACTGCTCCCGCCTGGGTGAGGCGGGAGGGAGTGTCAGACTCTTACTGACTAAAAACCACCCCGTTCCTTCTCCTGCACGTCGAGCCGGAGCCCCGGTAACCCGTTAGGTTATAAGGTCTAGGAGCGAATCTCATATGAATATTACTATTAGGTAGGTAGTATTACATACCTGTTTGTCTACCATCAGCCTCTTGTCACCAGAGGGCCACAGCCTCCAGGAATCGGAGTCGATAACGTCAGCCAGCAGGATGTTACCTAAGAATTAAGATTAAATCATTAAAGAACGTTATTTTCTCATACAGCAGACCATAGTCCTAAGAGTCAGTTTGCTTACCTTCAGTGTCCACACCGAATTCGATCTTCATGTCAATGAGAGCGCAGTCGCGGAGAGCCCACGCCTTCTCCAAGATCTCGAACACCAAAATAGTGGCCTTCCTCATGTAGTCCACTTCATCCTGACCTGGTGGAGATGATTTGAGAGGTTTTACGTAGAAAATAAAAAAAAAAACGGTTGTTCAGTGATCGATATCGATGTCTTGTTCGTCGAATGGAAATGAATCTAAGGTTTCAAAGCCCGGGTAAGGCCAAGCACTTTTGGGCTTCAAAGTCAAAGTCAAAAGTCAAAGCATTTATTTCAATTAAACCATAGTTTGGTACTTTTGAAACGTCAACAAATACAAAATAAATAATCGTCTGTCAGTCAGTCCCTCAGTGTATCCAATTTCTTCCACGCCCACTGCATTGCAAATTGCATTGCAATAAGCTCGACTTTCATTCGGAACACGGGACTCATAATAACTGGTAGAAAGTGAGTGCGAAATTCGAACAACACAATGTACTCCTTTATCTTTTTAATTCATTTTAGAAGCGATTAAATTAAACATGGCGTCGGTTCACAGATGCTTATAACGTAACATACCATTTCATCACGCCTTTATCCCCGAAGGGGTAGGCAGAGGTGCACATTACGGCAGTTAATGCCACTGTACAATGTAACACCTACTTTTCACTATTTATGTTATGAGCCCCGTGTAATACTGAGTGAGCCTATTGCCATATAGCGGACACAATTTCAGACTCCGTGCTACTACTGAGATTTTAGTTTAAACCCAGTAATACTTTGCCCGACCCGGGAATCGAACCCGAGACTCCTTGCCCGGCAGTCGCACTTGCGACTACTCGGCCAACGAGGCAGTCTTATGGGAAGAGAATGCTTATTAGTAACTAGCGACCCGCCCCGGCTTCGCACGGGTGCAATATGCATTTATTATACATAACCTTCCGTAATAATAAATCTATCTATTTAAAAAAGTCGCATCAAAATCCGTTGCGTACTTTTATAGATCTAAGCATACATAGGGATAGACAGACGGCGGAGAGACTTTGTTTTATACTATGTAATGATTAAAATAAACTTACCAATAGTAAGTCCGTTAATATGGAACTTGGCAGACACAATCTGTTCCTCAGACCATTGAGGGTCGTGGTTGGCATCGTCCTTGAAGAAGGTCTCCTGCTTCGGAGGAGTGAATCTGAAGCCCTCTGGTACTCCAGGGTTCCTCTTCAAGAAGGATCCGGTAGCCAGACGCCTAGTCACCCATTCGATTGGGATCATGTCACATTTTTTAGATATGAACGCTGTCGGTGACGCGATTTTGACGAAAGCTGTGTTAATTCCTGGAAATAGAACATTATTTTTGGTCAAGAATAGTGTAAAAGAGTGAAGTGGGCGTGGCGCAGTGAAAATTTATCATCTAAACCTGAATGGACATATTTCAGAGGAGGTCTTCAGTATTCCGTTAATCTTATGTGGATTAGTAGGTAAATCAGTGTTCCTTTTTATAAACACTGAAGTGTCTTTAACCTATTAGCTTGTTAGATGGTAGAATCCGTAATTGGACCGCAAAGAACTCTTACATATTTCTCATTATTTTGATCTAACCGAATTATGTATCTACCATTTGCATATTATTATTCTTAATTACAAAATCATTCACTAGAGTATATTTTTTCTAAATTACTTTCAATTACTTTCATACGCTTATTTATCAATCTTTGACGTATAAATTAAATTCTACAAATAAGTAAGTAGGTACGTTTAGTCCATCTAAAGTCCAATGACGCAGGCAATTGTTTTCTATTTTAAAAAAACAAGCTCGTTATAGATAATAAATAATAATAACGAGGGTCCATAAATATTATGAAGATGACCTCTAACGAAGGCAATGTTTCATAACTGTTACAAGATAATCTGTTGTTGTTTGCGCCTGCGCAGGGTCCCGCGGGTCACAATAATAACATCGGAATAATACGTTGTAATATCTACGTATTTCGGTAGACTTTACCTCATATCTCATTGTAATACAATGTTTGTGGAAGAACTAAATGTGCGCAAAGAATCCCTCATTTTAAGGGTCCTATCCATTCTATCTAATAGCAAAATTCACTAAATTAATTAGTAAGGTAAAGTAATTATAAGGTTACCTAAGTAATTAAGGCTAGTGAATGCAGTAAGGATTTTTTTGTCAAGAATGAGGCAGGGCACACATATATGACCCAGGTCAATAACTAATATTCTGCCTTGTAAAAAAGCGTGTAGGCGTGTCTACAACAAAAATAATCTACATAAAATTAAAAAATAAACATGGTATTTCCTCATAAAATCTATTTCCGAATGATCATTGACATCAATCAATGACATTTTATCGCACAAAAAAATGTTTTAGTCGGTAGACTTAAGGGTCATATTTCAATGGCGACTTTGGTCAGCCGAGTGCCGAAGTAATATTACATCATTATTTGACCAGTCCGTCAGTTTATCTCATTGATAACAGAGAACAAAAGACCAACTGTATCTTAAGTTTGATATAAACTGACGCACAACTGAAGGGCAGGT